CGCTATCGGCTTCTGAGTATGTCGGTACCACGCCGGACGGCGACACGTACATTGAGAAGTATGACGATAATGATAATGAAGATGTGGATCTGGTTCGGTGGAGCGCAGGTTGGGACGACGTCCCCAACGGCGTGAATCCTGCGCGGGTGTACCGCTTTCGGCAGGAGCCGACAGCGGCCGAGAAGCACGTTTTCCTTCGTGATGCTGAGCGACTGGCCGATCATCGCTGCCGCATCGTGGCCGCCACGATTGGTCGCCCCGACCTGCTCACGGAGCCAGGCTTCGCGCGCTGGTGCCAGGCGGGCCAGGCGGCGCGCCCGCCGCTGCGGGAGGCGCGGCGGCTGGGCCTGTGGCGGCTGCCGGGCCTCGCCCGGGGGTGCTGCAGGGCGTGGCGCCTCAGGCGGCTGCGGCGGACGCTGGCACGCGCTGGCGGGCGGCTCAGTCTCTCGGGGACGTGCGGTACGGGGACGAGGTGCCAGGGCACGTGGCGACGGCAGCGGCGGTGCACGGGCGCGACCTCCACATCCTCGCTGACGGGACCGCCCTGTTCGTCGAGGAGGTGCCGGGGGCGGAGTTGGAGGTCTTCATGGGGCGCGCTGTGGCAGCAGACGCTCGCGTGATGCCCGTGATGCGTACGGGAGCTCGCCGCGAGGTGACGTGGGCGGTCATGGCTGCGCGCGTTCGTGAGGAGGACTTCGGGCGCGACTGGCTCGTGACGGGCCCGCGGGCGACGCTCTGGTGCATCGAGTTCATCAACAATGAGGGGATGGGCATCGACGGCCATCACGATAGGTTGCGGGCGGTGGCGAAGCTCGAGCCGACGCAGTGGGGCGTGCAGGAGCACTTCCAGTGCACGCAGTACATCCGTTTTCTGTTGCTCTCAGACCAGTGCGACGGCACGAACTTGCAGGCTTGCGAGGCCATCTTCCGCCGCATGCAGACTATCGAGTATTCGTACCTGGAGAAGGTGAGGGAGCGTGAAGGCGCCAATCAGAGCGGGAAGTTGTCGATCGAGGAGCAGACGCACTTCGCGGGCTCGACTCGGATCTCTTCTAGCTTGATGGTGTGCCCCGATTTGTTGGAGTTTGTACGCAAAGAAGTAGAGCGTGAAGCTGCCCTGGCAAAGAACCTCCGTAAGGCTCGTGAAGAGAAGGAGGCTCTCAAGAAGGGCAAGAAGGACGGACAAGGTTGAGGGGGCATGGAGCACCCCCTTCGTGTCCCCCGGTTGCCAGGCGACCGGGGGGCGCCTTCGCATGGTCAATTCGAGCGCCCTTCCCTTGGTCGTGATGAGCCCGCACGTCTGGTTGCTCGCAATCCTCTTCCTCTGCCAGTACCGCCAGTCTCATCTGCATGTGCTGACAGTGGTGGATTTTTGTCGCGAGGTTGCCGTCAGCGGGTTCAGCAGCGTCACGCTCGTGATCTCGACGTTCGGAGGGCGGTTGTCGCCCTGAATTCACTGCATCACTCTCCTGACGTTGTGCCGGGCGGAGAGGGTCAACTCAGTGGTGGTCCTCTGTCGCTGGTGCAGCAACGCATCATGGAGTACGTGCGCGACTCAGTTGGAGCGCTGGGGGCTCCACCGGCAGGCGTCGACACCTCAGAAGCTCTGCGGAGGCTTCGAGCGCCTGGCTTCTACGGCTCCGACGAGGACGTGAAGCTGGGGAACTACAATCCCGATCTGCTCTCGCTGCCGTCCGCGGGGGGCCATGCGGTTCCGCTCGCGGACTTGTGGGGTGCAGGCGGGCGCAGGCGCGTCGCGGAGTTCGTCCGCGATAGTGTGCTACCTGCGGGACCGGCGCTGGAGAGGAGGAAGATGCGCGGCGTGAGGGCGCCCTATTCCGACCCAGCCCTTCGCCAACCGCGTGTGTGGAGCGACTTTGTCTCGCGGCTTCATCACAGCGGCCTGCTAGATTTTGCCTGCGACCGCGGCAGAGAGTCCGTGGAGTTCTTCTGCGTTCCGAAAAAAGATCAGCGATTGAGACTCGTTTGCGATTGCCGTCACAGCAACGTCTGGTTTCGCGAGCCTGATAACGTCACTCTTTGTACTGGTGAGACTCTTGGGAACCTCGAAGTCGGTGAGGGCGAGACGCTCTATATTTCGGAAGCTGACCTGTCCAATGCATTCTACCATTTGCAGCTGCCTGTCGAGTTGCGGGATCTGTTCACCCTTAGGCGCGTCCGTGCCCGTGATATCGGCTTGACTGAGATTGGCGGGCAACCAGTGCGCGACGGGGCGTGGGTATACCCAAGACTGCGCGTGTGCCCCATGGGGTGGACTTGGGCATTGTGGCGGTGTCAACGTGCGCATGAGAGATTGGTCGAGCGGTGTGGAGGACAACCCGAAGAGAGGTTACAGGATCGTCGTGTCATCCCCTCTCTTGCGGGGGCCTGCCATCTCGAGTATGTCGACAACTTCGTGGCCATTTCGACTGTCGCCTCCAAGGTGCATCGCCTCGCGTCCGCCGTCGTGGAGGGGTTCAGGGAGGCGGGGTTGGTCGCGACCGCCGATGTCGACTCGCCCGGAGAGGATCCCGCTCGGGACCGCACCGTCTTGGGATGGGACATCAGCTGTCGTGCCGCTGTCCTGAGGCCTACCCGGGCCCGTGTCTGGAGGGCCCGCTTGTGTGTCCGTGCCTTGCTTCGTCGTGGCCGCGTCTCTGGGAAGGTCCTCGAGAGGCTTGTGGGGCGCATGGGGTTCATCAGCCTGGTCCGACGGGAAAGCCTCTCGGTCTTCGACGCGCTGTTCGCGTTCATCCGCCGCTTCTACTACGAGGAGGCCCCGCTGCGGCCCAGTGTCATCAACGAGCTCACGATCTGGGAGGGGATCGCGCCGCTGCTGTGGCGCAACCTGAAGGCCTCGTGGGGGCCGTCGCTGTACGCCGTCGACGCGTCCCCGACCGGTCTGGGAGTCTGCTCGTCGCCGATCTCAGTCGAGGAGGCCCGGGGGCTTGGGAGACATTGCGAGCGGTGGCGTTTCTCTCGGGGTGCGCGTCTTCCTCCGCGTCTTCAGGCTGCCGCCGCTGCCGCCGTGTCCGACGACCCCGAGGTGCAGTGGCTGTCCGGAGTGCGCGACAACGGGTCCGGAGGTCTCTGGGATGTTGATGGGGGGCCGCCGCCTGCCGGCAGTGCCGCCGCCGTTCTGGGTTCTGGGCTCGGCGATTCTCGTGACGCCGTGTTTCGTGAGGTGCCCCTGAAGCTCTTACGACGTGACTGGAAGATTGTCGGGAGGTACAAGTGGAACTTTGAGGGGCCGATGCCTATCCTTGAGGGCCGGGCTATCTTGCATGCACTACGACACGCCCTGAGGAATGTTCAGAACTTCGGGCGGCGGATCGCGGTCCTGGGGGGCGCCCTCGTCGCTGCCTGCGCAGTCTCGAAGGGGCGGTCTGATTCCAGGGCGATGCTCAAGGTCACCCAGTCCGTGGCTGCTCTCTGTCTGGCCACTGGGTGCGCGTTGCACTGCCGGTGGCTCCCCTCAGAGTGGAACGTGGCTGACGGGCCCTCGAGAGGGCTTGCAGTTCCGTCAGTGCCGCAGCCGCTGTCCCTCTCGAAGCCTCACGAGCTGGAGTGGCTTCGCTCGGCTGGGCAGCCCGCGCCCGTCCCGCGGCCCCGCCCCGCGGCAGGAGGCGATGCTGCTACGAGCGTCGCCGTCGACCGGCTCTCAGCCGACTGGGGCGGCTTCGCGGCCCTCGGGGAGGAGCAGTTTGACGCGGGCGCCAGCCGCTTCGAGCCCGTCTTCGTCGGCGGCGTTTCCTTCGCGGGCCGCTCCCAGCAGCGCGCCAGCGGCTGTGCCCCGCCGGGCGCCGCGGGCGCCGGCGCGAGCACCAGCGCGGCGCGCCGGGCAGGCCCGCGCGAAGGAGGCGGCGAGGCGGCGGGCGGCCGCGACCGCGGCCGAGGGGCTGACCGTCTGCCAGACTCACTCGGTTCGCCCCGCTACGTTGCGGCCGTACCAAGACGACTTTGCCTCGTTCAAGCGCTGGCTGAGTCGCCAGGGCCGCCCGATGCCCGAGGGCAAGCTGGACACCGACCAGACCCTCTCCCAGTACCTGGACGAGAGGTACCTCGACGGCGCGCACGTCAGCTTGGTGCAGCGGATGCTCGCCGCTGTGCTGTTCCACCAGTCGGCCCTGAGCAAGGCGGGCGGCGCGCGGATAACGCGCAGCCGCCGCGCGCTCAAGGGCTGGCAGCGCCTGGCGCCTGCAGGCTCCAGGCTCGGGGTGCCGTACGTGGTGATGTGCATGATCGTGATGTGGCTGCACGGCCTGTTCACGATCGGCAGCACCCAGGCGGGGCAGGCGTTCGACAGGGCGGTGCAGGCGCTGGGGCTTCGGCGCGTGGGCGTGGTCTGCCGCTACCAGCTGCGCCACGGCGGCGCAAGCCACGACGCGGCGACCGGCGCGAGGACGCTGGGTCAGATCCGCCATCGCGGCCGCTGGCGCGCCCACAGCAGCCTCCGCCGCTACGAGAAAGGGGCGAGGCTCGGCGAGGTGCTCGAGCGCCTGACCACCCCGCTCCGTGTCCACGCGCTGCGCTGCGCCGACTTGCTCGCCGTCGTTGCGGCCAGGCGACGCCAGCCTTGCGCGAGCCCCTGAGGGTCCCCGTCTTCGTGGAGATCTTCTCTGGTTCAGGCAGGCTGGGGCGTGCTGCTGCGCATGAAGGGCTGCAGGTGCTCTGGTGGGACATCTCGTTCGGCGACGCCTATGACCTGACGCTTGGCAAGAATCAGAATCTGCTGATGGGCTGGCTCGCTGGGGGCCTCATCATCGGGCTTCACGTCGCGCTGCCATGCCAGACCTACTCCCGCATTCGTGACCGTGGAGGCGGTCCGCCGCCGCTGAGGAGTGACGCCTGGCCGCGGGGGCTTCCGAACCTTGCGGCCGCCTTGCAGCACAAAGTGACGCTTGCCAGTAATCTCACTCGCTTCGCATGCCGCTTGTGTCGTGAGGCCATCCTTCGTCGGATCCCCTGGTCTTTGGAGAACCCGCGAACCTCGCGCCTGTGGCTATGTAATTCAATCGTTGCCCTTACGAAACGGAAGAATGTCAGTAGTGTGTACACTGATTTCTGCATGTGGGCGGGACCTTTTAGAACATCCACCACGTTTGTATCGTACCTCGTCGATCTCTCTGGGCTCGCCGCTCGCAGGTGCCTCGGTAGCCGCAGGATGTGTGCCCGCACTGGCGAGCCGCACCAGCAGTTGGTCGGCAAGCGTCAGGACGGTGCGTTTTGGACTAAAGTTGCCGAACCATATCCAGCCCCACTTTGCAGTTTCATCGCCAAACGGTTCTGGGACATAATTGCTGCGCGAACCGCTCAGAAATTTGACAGGTTCCTGCCTGTTGCTTAAGTCCCGGCGGAGCCAGTTGGCACTCGTGCAAGTATGGCATTTTCTAGCTTGACGGTGCTGTCTTGGCAGTGCGTGTGGCCGAAGCCACACTCTTGTGCGGAAGGTATTGTGACTCGTTGCTTGCCTGCCCACTCGCTCCGGTCGGTGGCGCCACTGTATGTAAAAACACATCGTCGTCTGGCCTCGAACGGAAGTTGAGCAATTGCAGTTATACTAACGCGTTTTGCGGAGCATGAGTGGGTCGGGCCGCCTTTACCGTTTGGGCCCAAGGCGCCCACCACGCCCGCCCATTTTTCGCCTTGAGCAGTGCGTGTGGCCGAAGCCACACTCTTGTGCGGAAGGTATTGTGACTCGTTGCTTGCCTGCCCACTCGCTCCGGTCGGTGGCGCCACTGTATGTAAAAGCACATCGTCGTCTGGCCTCGAACGGAAGCTAGAGCAATGATGATGATGATAATGATGATGATGATTATGAGTTGATGCTGATGCTGATGATGATGATGATGCTGATGCTGATGATGATGATGACGATGGTGATGATGATGATGATAATGCCGACGATTATGATGGTGATGATAACGACGATAATGATGATGGTGATAGGAGGAGGAGGAGGAGGAGGAGGAAGTGGAAGAGAAGGAGGGGGAGGAGGAGGAGGAGGACCAGTGTAAAGCAACGGTTCATCAACGATGTCGGAATACACCCTCCCTCCAAGCTCCCTCTTCACAGGCCCCTACAAGGGTTCATTTCCGCGGAGGGAATCGCCCCGTCGGGGGACAACCGTGGGAAAATCCGAACGCGTGCCACAACACCATTCTCATAATTTCAACGCCACGAGTTGACTTGACTGTTACGTCGTGGCTATCCTGCATCGCGCCAGAGCCCCATTCCTGGGATTTCAACACCGCGAATCAACACAGCTGTTGCGCCCTGACAATCCCGAACTCATTCAAAATACAATGTTTGGTACGTTAACCCTGGAAGCCATTGGAACTCTTGCGCATATTGAAACGAATGTGCGCGGCGCTAAGGCGAGAGCCTCATTTTGAAAAAGGGACCGCAGTCAATCCGTGAAGCTCTGGCAAAATTTTAAGATGAATGTGCGCGGCGCTGAGGCGAGGGCCACAAAGCGAATGTGCGCGGCGCTTCGGCGAGAGCCACATTTTGAAAACAGCCCGCCCTCAATCCGTACAGCGCTGGCAAATTTGTAATGCGAATGCGCGCGGCGCTAAGGCGAGAGCCACAGTTTGAAACCGACCTGTCCTCGATCCGTAAAGCTCTTGCACACGTTTCGAACCGGTGCACGCGGCGCTATGGCGAGAGCCATAGTTTGAAAACCACCCGCCCTCTATCCGTGAAGCTCCTACAATCTGTGTAAACAATGCCGCGTGCCGCCTGAGGCGAGAGTCCGCATTTGAAAACCCACCTCGCGCTCAATCCGTGACACTGCTTTCAATGTTTAAGCTAGGGGCGGAGGAGGGGAGAAGGTAGGAGAGAGAGGAGGACGAGGGAGGAGGTGGAGGGGAGGAGGAGGAGGAGGGTGAGAGCAGAGGATGGAGGGCATGATGATGAGGAGGAGGAGGATGCGGATGAGGAGGAGGAGGGGAGGAGGAGGAGAGGGAGGAACAGGAGGAAGAGGAGGAGGAGGAGGAGGAGGAGGAGGAGGAGGAGGAGGAGGAGGAGAGCAGCAGCAGGAGCAGCAGGAGCAGGAGCAGGAGGCGGAGGAGCAGCAGGAGCAGGAGCAGGAGCAGGAGCAGAAGCAGAAGCGTGCGCATGAAGAGCACGCGGGATTGAATCCCCTCCGCCTCCCTCGCAGGCGGCAGCAGCGGGGCAGGAGCCCGGGCGGTGCTCAAGCCGGCGATTGTTGCCTGGCCTGCAGGGGGACCCCCGATGTGGCGATGGCCTCCTGGGGGAGGGCCCGTCGCCCTTTCATCCGTCCCAGTCCTTGTTGTCCTCTCCCTCGCTCTGCGTGTTGCCATGCCTTTCTCCTCCTCGACAACCTCCTTTTCCATCTCTGCACAAGTGTCCTATATCCTTGTCAGCATTGGCTGCACTATTGACCGTCTTAATCCTACGCCTGCTTCCTCCTCCTCCACCTCCTCCTCCTCCTTCTCCTCCCCCTCCTTCCTCCTCCTCCTCCTCCTCCTCCTCCTC